CTGAGATGCTCGAGGAATTACCCTGAATGAATGAAATACATTACTCACATCAAACTAGTAAAATTCAGACAATTGCACAAGAGCAAGTGATGGCAAGCATACGTGGAACTGGGACCCTCTGAGCCTTGTTGGTTGAAAGCCACTATGAGGAGCATTTAATCGGCATGTTCCCTGGCATCCAGGAAAACCATCTTGGATGAGTTCTCCTGGAGCAGTGGGCACAGAAGCTCATGAAGAGGCTCATGGAGGATTGTGCAGAGCCAAGGACAACCTAGGGGACTTTAACAAGGGACATGGACAAGGAAAATCAACCAGAGGGATTTGATGCAAGGCTTTGCAACAGACAGGAGGAATCCCTTAGATTCCCTTAGATCCCAAATCGTGTTAAGACAAAAAGGTAAGAGAATAGTTATAGTGCCATGAGCCTAGAACTTTAAAATCACACGCAAAGTACTGCATACTCTGAAAGGACACACGCTGCCACAAACATCTGGGAGGCAGAATGAAAGGAGATGTGTAACCCGGAAGCAGGGCAGAGGGAGAACAGTAGGACTGAAGATGCAAAACCAAGGAGAATTCGGCCTCATTTAAAAATAAAAGAAGGCTTGGGTCTGTGGCACAGTGCTTAGGACCCTTCCTGGGCCACTCACATCCTGTGCAAAGTGGATGATCTTTCCTGCAGCTGCCTATGCTGGGAGGCAGTGCTGATGATTCAAGTACTTGGTTCCCTGACACCCACACAGGAGACCCAGCCCGAGTTCCTGGCACCCAGTTTCAGCATGGCTATCTCCCCCATCTCATTGCTTTTCAAACACAAATTGAAATCTGCTTTCATTTTTGAAGATTAAAAAAAAATAGGAGCACAAGGTCATGCTCTGAAAATAATGATTGCGATCAATCCGACTCTATGCCTAGCAGAGTCACAGGGAAGGGGTACCAGGCGTGAAGATCTTTGGGAAAAGGTGATAGACATTTCAGAATGAACTGCTTCGTGCCCAGCCCCCCTCAAATCAATCACTGTGGAAGAAATGCAGTCTCCGAACCAAACTTTCATCTTTTCTTGCATGGTGTTTGCATCCCTGTGGGATGCGTCTGGACCTTCCCTGAACTGCAAGTTGCCCCTGGACTGCTCCCCCTCTTGTTCTCTGTAACCCCTTCTCTGTGGGAGAGGCCTGAGTCGCCCTGACTCCCCACTTACAGCTGTGTGACCCTGAATGGGATGCTCAACTTCTTTGTGTGTTCCCTTTCACTAAGGGATTACATCAGCTGCCTGAAAGGACAGTCTGGAGAACTAGATTGAGATTGTGCCTAAGAAAACAGGGCCGTAAAGGTGCACCCTAGAGAAGGTGCTTCCCTAGAGAAACACAATGAGATTCTGACATTTCGGCCTCTGATCCTCAGGGCTCACATGTGTCTTTGGCGGTCACCCCCCACAGTGTGCTGCTTCCCCTCTCTGCCTTACCAAGCAGCATCTTCCAACCACCTTCCAGCCCATGGGTAGAGGGGACTTTCTGAAGCACCATCGAGTCACACCTCAGCCCTACGTCCAGTGGTGAGACATGGCCACAAACGAGCTGCTCTTCCCTCCTTGATCTGTTCCAATTCCTCTTCTTGGAATCACCATGGTCTTCAGCTCCTGCTGGTCCCTGCTTATCTTTGCCTGGCCGGGGATCTTCCCTGTCCTTGGGGGTCTCCCTCAGACTGGACTTTTCTGGCCATTCTCTCAGCAGTTTCCTGGCCAAGCCCATAAAATCTCAGGAGGTGCCATTGTGGCCACTTGGGAGAGTGAATCAGCAGATGGAAGATCTTTCTGTCTCTCCTCTCTATATCTCAATCTTTTCTTTTTTAAAGATTTATTTATTTTTATTGGCAAGTCAGATATACAGACAGAAAGGGGTCCCATCTGCTGATCCACTCAGCAAACACCTGCAATGCCTGGGCATATGTGGGGTGACAGTCAGGAGCCAGGAACTCACTCTGGGCTGGTGTGAGGTAGAGACCCAGACCCAGCCACCTGAGCCATCAGCTGCAGCTTTCCAAGGTGTACAGCAGCAGGAAGCTGCAGTTGGGAGCTGTAGCTGAGACTGGCCTCAGGTCCTCGGGTCTGACACCTAGGCATCCAGCTTCTTATCCGCTAAGCCAAGCGCCCACTCCCAAAGACAATGTTTAAATGTTCATATCTTTGCATACAATTTGGTCAGTAAATGCAGGGGGTTCATGCTTCCTAAACACTTAGACATTTGTAATGATTTCTCATGGGCAGAAAGTCAAGAGAAGGATTACATTTGTCTACATCCATGACTCGCCTCCCATTTCAGGCTTTAAAATTTCAAAAATAAAGGGTTTTCTCTGGTGCATTTTGGGGACCTGTCTCCTCCTCATCTCCCCACCAGAGCCTGGCACATAATCACAGCTCAAAAAAAAAAAGACGCTTATTTCTATTTTCATCTTATTTATCTGTAAGGCAGACTGGTTTATTACGTGGCTTATTACTCCTCAAATGTGTACAATATCCAGGGCTGGGCCAGGCTGCAGCCAGGAGCCAGGAACTCTAGCCTGGTCTCCCAAGTGGGTGGCAGAGATTCAAGGACTTGAGCCGTCATGTGCTGCCTCCTCTGGTGTGCTGCAGCAGGAAGCTGGGACTGCCACCAGGCACTCTGTCATGAATGCAGCCTCCCAGGCAGCATTCTAATCATTCTAGCAAATGCCAGTCCCCGGCAAACACGTTCTGCACAAATCCCAAAGCAGCACATCTCAGATGAAGAGCGCCATGATGAATACACTTCGTATTCTAATTACGTTAAGTTGTATATTGGCATCATGCGACAAAAACTCACTGAGCTCGTCTCGTACACCCCACACTATGGTACATACTCATCCCCGAGTACCACCAGCAAAGGTCCCAAGACACCTGCAGGCCACAGAAGCGAACCTCACCACATCATCTGATGCTGATGGAGGAATCCGGCGAAGCTTGGGGAAGGTCAGAGACGTAACAATCGAGACACCTTCCCTGTTTCTCCCTCACTCTTTCCCCCATGTCCCCGTTATGGTTCCTCCCCCTCTATTAAGCCATGAAAGAAAGGGAAATGGCAAGAAAGGGAAAACAACATCTCACAACCGGGAGGGCTGCATCAAGTCTTCACTGCTCTGGCATGGATTTTTTTGTCTTAGTCTCACGCCCCTTTGAGCTTAAGCTCTGTAGCAACCGTTTTCTGTTAATACCATAGGGTCATTGAGCCTGGGTAGTTCGTCAAGGTGCTGACTTACCTCACAGTTCAGGAGGCCATCTCAGAACCCAGCAATGCGGGCCTGTGGGAGGCACGGCGGTGAGGATGCTGCTTGCAAGGCCTGTGTCCATTCCAAAGCGCCCAGGATCCAGCCCCAGCCGGTTCCTGACTCCAGCTCCCTGCTAACACACACCCTGGGAGGCAGCAAACGATGGCTCGAGGACTCGGGGCCCGGGCAGACTTCCTGGTTCCTGCTTTTAGCCTGGCCCAGTCCAGAGTGCTGTTGACATTTGAAGCGTGAGTGAGTAAATGGGAGGTTTCTGTGTGTTTGCCTTTCAAAAAACGAAAACAGAAAAGTGATAAAATGTGAAAAGCAAGCACAACAACAGTAGAAGACAAGCTGAAAGGCAGGCAGGTGCACACAGGCAAAGCGCAACGCGAGGGGCAGGCTGGCTTTGTGACAACCTGGGGCTGCTCCCCCGTCACTAACCCGCTGTGTGTGAGAACTGCTCTAACCCCTGTCAGCTACTCAGACATCTCTGCGAGGTACCCCCACCCCTCCACACCTCACGCCAAACCAAACCCCAACACGCTTTGCAGGCGACAACTCCCGGCGTCCTTCCACAGGCCCAGAAGCCAGGATGCTGGAGGACACAGGACTTGCCACGGTCACACTCAAACACCTGGCTAAGTGTGAACCCCTTACACCTTCACACTTTCCCACGTAGCTTCCCAAGTCACTTAGCAAGCCTTGGGATTGGGGGCAGGGCGCAAAAAACAGGGGGTAAATGAAGCTGCGGATGCAGCTCTGAACATACTGAAACATGGAAGCCATCTTCACATTCAAATGTGAGAACCACCCCCCCGCGACACCTGCAGGCTGGGGACGCCGAGGACTGGAGAAGGTGTTGGCTTCCAGAATGGCTCCAGGACAGGAGAAGCAATACTCGGGACAATCCCCATGAAGGCAGTGGTAGAGAAAGAGAAAAAGTAAACTTAATCAGAGAACAGCAGGTATCCAGGAAAAACGCATCTGTACAGGAGGGATCTCGAATGAACTTGGGATAATAAGCTCTTCCTGGATGATGACATGCACAGCTAGGGGCCGGAAACCAGGTGAGGAGGTGTGACGCCAGTGCCTGCCACACCAGCTCCATTTGGAATCTGGCTGCTCCATTTCCCACACAGCTGCCCACTAAAGGCTGGGGAAGCAGACGACCCAAGTCACTGGGGTCCGGCACACACCTGGAAGACATGAATAAAATTCCAGGTTCCTGGCCAGGGTGTTATAGCATTTGAGGAGTGAGCCAACCGAGTCTCACTGTCTCTGTCTCTGCAATTCTGCCTTTCAAATAAGCAAATAAATCTTTCATTGTTGTTGTTATTTTAAAGTGCACCCAGGCTCCAGTGTCCATGTCTCTCCAGCAGGGGGCAGCCATGAAAGCCCACGTGACACCAGGCACGTGACTTCCCAGGCGGCCCTGCTGCGGGCGCCCCCGGGCTGGATGGGATGTGCGTGCAGGGACCCCTGGTGTGGGTTTTCAGCCCTGGTCGGCCGGGAGATGTGCCCACGGGGCCTCCGCCGGGGCTGCGGGCTGCCCGCAGTGTGTGGCAGATGTTTGGGGGCGTTTCAGTGCCTGGGGCGGGCACCAAGGTGCGCCCTAGGTGCCAGCAGGTCTCTCTGAGGAGACGGCCAGCGACCCTCACGGCTGCTGTTGCTTCACTTCTTTCTCCCTCAGACCTGCAACCACCTTCTCCGGCTCCCGCAAGCTGCTCGGCTCCACACCGCCCTGCTCACTCAGCCGGGACTGGCGCTCAGCCCCGTCCCAGGCCGACGCCGCTGTCAGTTTGCCTTCGTCCAGCCGACGCCAGGACGCCTCCGAAGGTCTCTGTGCTAGGAAGCAACCTCCTCCGCAGGAAGATCAGCCTTGGCAGTAGCTGCTCGGATGGACTGAGTCGGAGCGAAGCTTCTAGAGTCTCCAGAAACGGTGGCGCTCTGCTGCCACCCAGAGGCCACCAGCCGCGATGACAGCCCGTGGACCAGAGTGGCCTCTCCGGAAACCTTGGCCAACAGGCTGCCAATCGGAGTAGGTCCCCAAGAAAGGTGGCTGTGCGGGAGCCATCAGGACTGACCAGGGTGGCCGTGCCTCCCTTGGGAGAAGCCGAATGACAAGGAAAACCTTGAGTTGCTTCGAGTATAAGATTTCCTGGGGTGAGCTGGAGGAAGCCCTCGTCAATACAAATCAGCATCTGAACTGAAACACAGGTTTGTCCTTTCTCAGGGACACACGAGAGAGAGCCATTGCCAAGGACCAGGGTGTTACCAGAGCCCACCAAATGCACCTGCACAGGTAAGAGACCCTGCGATTTACACCCCCATCCAGAAAGCTGGAGTGAGCTGGTGTGCAAACCAGGGTAAGACCGAAATCTTTGAATCCCAGGTCCTTCCTGCCAGCATCCACATAATCCGAGACTTAAGGGTGGAATTCTTATACTGTTACGTGTTTTATTTCTCTCTACTCCCCCCAAAAGGGGTACACCATATTCCTAATCCGTTTGTCTCCAGGTCACACAGTCATGGGAAGTTTGTTAGGGCTCAATTCTATCTTACCATTAGTTTGTATGTCCTTCATGGCTAATTTCTTTTTTTTTTTTAAGATATATTTCTTTTTATTGTAAAGTCAGGTATACAGAAAGGAGGAGAGACAGAGAAGAAGATCTTCTGTCTGATGGTTCACTCCCCAAGTGGCTGCAATGGCTGGAGCTGAGCTGATCCGAAGCCAGGAGCCTGGAGCCTCTTCCAGGTCTCCCACGTGCGTGCAGGGTCCCAAGGCTTTGGACCATCCTCTACAAATAAGGGCCGCCGGGATTAGAACTGGTACCCATATGGTATCTCGGTGCATACAACGCAAGGACTTTAGCTACTAGGCTACCGCACCAGGCCCATGGTTAATATTTTCTTATGAAAGTTTTCAGCATTGACAAACAAATCATTTCTCAGGGTCTTTGCCAACTCTGTACTGTACTCATGTTTGGAGAGGAAAAGGAGTGTGCCTGCCGCCTGAGTCCAGCCATCCTGAGCTGCCTAAGAAAGGAAGAGCTGTTTTACTCACTGCAACCCTGAAACATTTATGCCATTTGCATGTACTCAAATAATTTTCTCAAGGACACACAGAACATTTAAAAAAAAAACCACCTAAACTTCAGCTCCTGTGCTTGGGGTGGGCATTGGGCCCCACAGTGAATTTGCTGCTTGGGATTCCCACGTCTTGCATCCTACTGCCTGATCCAAGGCCAGGCCTCTCTACTTCCCAATTCAGCTTCCTGCTAGTGTGTCCTCTGGGCAGCAAGGAATGCGTCAAGTCCTTGGGTCCCCTGCCACCAAGATGGAAAACCCGAGTTGAGGTGCGGACTTCTGGCTTCCTCCTGCCACAGTCTTAAGTGTTGTAGGTGTTAGAGAGTAAACCAGCAGGTGGATGATCTGTGTGTGTGTGTGTGTGTGTGTGTGTGTGTGTGTGTGTGTGTGTGTGACTCTGCCTTTGAAATACAATAAAACTTTCCCAAAATTGTTTTCGTTTTAAACCCACAGTCATCTGACTGCAGAATTCCCTTACTTTTTACAGTGATGGGAGCTCTGGGTAGGGTCCCGGGCCTGCACAGAGGGGCTTGGTCGGGGTTAGGGCGCTGGGAAAAGGGAAGGCTGGCACTTTAGAAGCAGTTGGCCACCGAAGTCAGGGTGATTCTTGTCTGTATTCCTTGCCTACCTTGCCACTGCATTCTGGTCTCACTCTGGGTTTGTTGACTCTTGATTTACTACAGCCATTAAGCCCTTAAGCCTCTGACTACAATGTAAACTAGCAATATGTTATCTCAAAGTAAATGAAAGACGAAGTTAAAAATGCCAAAGTCAGATTGGCGGAAAGAACTTGTGCCAAGGCCTAGCGGTCAGATCAGGCACTGGAAGAACCCAGACCTTGAAGACTTCCTGGAAAGCCAGTCTTGGGGCTCTGCCCTGGGCCCCTCCACGTCCCCGCACCGCTACCTTTTTGCTTATCACAGTGGCCCGCTTTCTCTTTTCTACATGGCTTGACTGAATGTTGGATCTCCTGGTGAAGCAATCACTTCCAAAAGAGCAGAGCATCTTTGCATGACCTTGCCCTTTCGTGCTTTCTCTTCCCTTGTCTGAGCGGTCCCTGTGGGTCTAGGACTAAGGCGCATGGAGAAGGGTGACAGATGTGCTCAGAGAGGCAGTGCGGAGCTCAGTGACTGGGACATGGAGCAAATCAGTCAACTGAGTGAATCAGGAAAGATGAAAGGACAAAGGGACCCAGAGCAGAAAAGTGGCCCCAAGAGAAAAAAGAAGGTTGGGAAGAACCTCAAGGCACTGAATGTTCATTGGAGATGCAGTCTGGACTTGTCGTTTCTGAATATGTCAGTAGGGGTAAGCCTTTGACCTAGCAATTAACATGTCTCTTAAGCTGCATGTATCCCATATGGGGATGCCTGGGTTTTGAGTCCTGGCTCTACTCCCCATCCCAGCTTCCTGCTAATGGGCACCCCACTGAGAGACAGCCGGTGGGTTAAGTTCCTGCCACGCACATGAGAGACCTGCACTATGTTCCTGGCTCCTGGCTTTGGCCTGGCTCAGCCTTGGCTTTTGTGGGAATTTGTAAACGATACTATGAAAGACTATACACAGTGGTGGAGGTGGTGTTATGGCATGTGGGTAAAATGGCACCTGTGATGCCAGTACCCCATGTGGGTACCAATTCCATTCTCAGCTGTTCCATTTCTGATCAAGCTCCCTGCTAATGGCCTTGGAAAGCAACAGATGCTGGTGTAAGTGGTTGGACCCAGGCACCCACGTGGGAGACTAGGAAGGAATTCCTGACCGCTGGCTTCCATCCCATCCAGCACTGGCAATTGAGGCCATCAAGGGAGTGAACCACTGGAGAAAAGACATCGCTTACTCTCATCTCTCTGTCTATCTAACTCTGCTTTTCAAATAAATCTTGTTTGAAATAAATAAAAGCTCACATACAGTTTAAACACAATCATAGGAGGCCACTGTTTTGGATTAAATGTCTGCACTGGGCATCCAAAAACCAAACTGAAATTAAGTTATCTCATCTTCTAAGAAGTCAGGAGAAGGAGCTGATGGGCAAGTTTCCTAAACAGGCTGGTTTCGGTGTAGTGTGGTGGTGAAACCCCCTCTGGCTTGATCCTTACCATAAAGGTTACCTGATGTTAACCAATGTGCTGTCTCTATTGTCTTTCCCCACCTTACTGACCCAGGTGCCTTTTATTCTTTTCCTCTGCTTGTTTCAGTCCTTTCTTATCTATGAAAACCAACCTCTTCAGTCCATCAAAAAGATCGTTCTGTTTTGTGCAGTAATTGTTTCCTGGTTCCAAAATTGCGAAATCCATCCAATACAGATCTTTAAATTGAGTCGTCCTAGTGCTGTCCTTCAGTCAGCCATATAAGCACAAACACATCCTAGTCTGGTGTCGGGCAGCTAGACCCAGGGTGCAGAGGCATTTGGGGGGCTAGGTGTGGCTTCTCTCCTTGCCTCCACCTTCCCCAGACACAGGAAGGAAAAAGAGAATGTGGCAATGGTGAGCTCACCCACCTTCCTGTAGCCCTTGACCCTTATCACCCTAATCAACTATGTAAAAATCATGAAAAACTAAGAATAATTAATGGGAAAACACACACACACACACACACACACACAAACCCTAGCTCTGTCAGCTGGGAGGGTCCAGGAGCACTAACACCCTGGTGGCAGGGAACCCAAGGTTTCCGAATTCCATTCTCCACTCAGAGAAGCCAGGAAGCCAGGAGCACTAACAGCCTGATGGCAGGGAACCCTTGATTTCTGAATTTCATTCTCCACTCAGAGAAGCCAGGAAATTATTGTTTCCATGGATTGAAAGAAAAGAACAAGGAGAGCCCCCACTGCAGGAGACTGGAGACATGCAGCATCCAGGTGCAATGCATGCTTCTGAGTTGGGCTCTAACAAGAAAGGGCTGAACGGTTGGCCCAGCAGACAGAATTTGAGTGCAACCTGCAACTTGGGCAATAGGCTTGCACCACTCTTGGTTTCCTCCTTACAAGGTTTTTATTTATGGGCTAGTGATACCATCAAAATTACCACAGCGCAGGCAACTTGAAGCAACAGAGAGCAGAAGTGCAAAATCAAGGTGTCTGTTGGCTGTGCTGGTGCCTTCTGGAGACCCTGGAGGAGGAGCCTCCCAGGCCTGTCTCCCAGCTGTTCGGCTAGTTGTTGACAGGGTTTGTGACAGCAAAGCTTCCATCTCTGCCTCTGTGCCTTTTCCTCCCATTATAAAGACCCCAGGCTACTGCATTTAGGACCTACCCTATCCCAAAACAACCCCAAGTCGTAATCCTTAGTTACATCTGCAAATACCCTGTTTTAAAATAGGACACAATCTTGAGCTCAAATGGACATGAATTTTGGGAGACCAATATGTAGCCCACCCCACTGTTGAATTGAAAAATATATTCTAGAGAGTGTATGAGATATGATAGGGCTTTTTTTTTTAGGGGGATGAGGGAAGATAGACTTACAGAGAGAAGGAGAGGCAGAGAGAAAGAGCTTTCATCCACTTATTTACACCCCAAATGGCCACAACCGCCAGAGGTGAACCAACTAAAAGTCAGGAGCTTCTTCCGGGTCTCCCACACAAATGTGAGAACCCAAGGACTTGGGTCATCCTCCACTGCTTTCCCAGGCCGCAGGAAGGCAGCTGGATGGGAAGTGGAGCAGCTGAGACATGGACCAATGCCCTGATTGTATTTGGCGCTTGTAAGGGGAGGGTTAGCCAATGGAGCCATCACGCCGGGTCCAGGGCATTGTGGTTTTAAGTGGCTTAGAGACTGCTGATGGGAATTTGGGGATTTTTTTTTTTAAGATTCATTTATTTTTATTGGAAAGTCAGATATATAGAGAGGAGGAGAGACAGAGAGGAAGATCTTCCATCCATTGATTCACTCCCCAAGTGCTGTGCCAGTCCAAAGCCGAGAGCCAGGAACTTCCTTCAGGTCTCCCACACAAGTTCAGGGTCCCAAGGCTTTTTTGGGCCATCCTCGACTGCTTTCCCAGGCCACAAGCAGAGAGCTGGATGGGAAATGGAGCTACCGGGATTAGAACCGGTGCCCATATGGGATCCTGGTGCATTCAAAGTAAGGACCTTAACCACTACGCTATCACACCAGGCTCTGGAGTTTTTTCTATACTATTCCTGCAACTTCCAAACACTTGACATAATATTAAAAATAATAATAATAATAAATAACCTGTTCTTGAAATTATTTGAAGGTTTTCT